TTAAAGATTGAAGACACCCAAGAGGATGGGCAGGAATACGACTCCGTCAACGACCAACCGTCAAACCAGGCTCAGGCAGACAATTTTCTTCAACAGGCACTTCTAGAGAACCCCGGACTGTCGCAACGCCAATGTCTTGTGGTTCTTACTCTCAGCTCCATGCTTTATGGAGTGGCGGACAACCTTGAGAACAAGATTGGTGCACAGTCTATGCTTCTACATATTGTACTTTTGCAAAACACCCAACTCTCTGATCGATCAATCCAAACCACCGCACCTAAGAACTTAAAATTTTTCAACGAATTTGTGAAAACGGCGAAAGGCTTGCTCAGCTCAAAGCTCTGGGAGAAAGCAATGAGCGACCATAACCTATCTTGCGATCTTTCTGACCTGGTGGACGGAAAATTGTTTTTCGAAGTCCACCGGATGGTCGAGAAAATGGACATCCAAACATTAATCTCATCTGTCACACAATCCCAATTCAACACCCTTGCGTCTCTACTAGACAGCATTTGCGGCACAGCACTGCAATGCCCAACGGCTAGGGGGGCGGGAGCTAGCTCTGAAGATGCGACCCATGGAAGTATCTCCAAGCCCCATGGCTTGGAAAAGGTGCTTCCATTTAGCAATGCAGTCTTCGATAATATTCTAAAGCCTGTTCATCTCGCAGTCGATGAATCGAGTGATAGCCGAGTTTCCAAGGAGAACGAAGACACCCACTGGCATAGCTCCAAGCCCCTTGATCAAAAGAAAGTCATCCTAACACCCCAAGAGGTTGAGCGAAGCCACAAGCGGAACCAGCGTTTTATGGCCGAAATGAGAGATTATGCTGCAAGTCTCTCAGGATCGCAGCCGGAGCCGATCGTTGTTGAAACTGGCAGTAGCTCACGCCAGAAGTCTCACCAACCCCCCTCGGCAAGCAGAGATATCCCTTCTAAACCGGACAAGAAATCTCACGCCAAGTCTGGTAAACTATCCACCAAAGAGAGGGCTGCAGCATTCGTTCACCAAAAAGCAATGGAAGTAACCCAAAAGCAGAGACAGAAGTGGAAGAACGTGTATAATGACGAGTTCGCCCTCATCGATGATCTTGTGACTCGTTTTACAAAGCTCAACGGATACTTGACCAGTCTGCCCAGAGACAGTCGACAGGTTCTGGAACCTGAAGTTTTGACTTGCATGATCGATACATTACTGCGGCTTCTTTTTGTCGAACGCACAAATGTGCAGAGTAAAAAGCACATGTTGATCGTGACACGCATTTGGGAGCTTGTCACTTGTCTTTCGAAAATCAAGCAAGGCATCTCATCCGTTATTGTCGCATATGTCTCGACAGTCTGTCAAATACTCGGTTTGCCAGCTGCTCAGCTTCATGCCGATAGTGAACAGAAACTATCTTTCGTACCGTTCAAGATCCCCAAAGCAGCACCCAGCATGAGTATCGAGATGAGCCCAGTTCAGTTCCAGCTTCAACACGGTGGGCCTTTCATGGAGCGCAGCATAGACTCAATGCCCGACTCCCGGACGCCTGATTTTGCGCCCGATCGTTGGCAGCGTGATGTGTTGGACCAGATCGATGCAAAGAAGAGCGCATTCATCGTGGCCCCAACGAGTGCTGGAAAAACATTCATCTCGTAAGTCACAATATGTTCCGATTCGGAACCATGCTAACATTCCTCAGTTTCTATGCGATGAGACAAATCCTGAAAGAAGATAACGATGGAATTCTTGTTTATGTTGCCCCCACAAAGGCTCTTGTCAACCAGATCGCAGCCGAGGTACAAGCCCGGTTTTCCAAATCATTCCCAGCCAAAACCAGTGGAAAGTCCGTTTGGGCCATTCATACAAGAGACTATCGCATCAATAATCCCCAGGGATGCCAGATTCTCATCACGGTTCCCCAGATTCTTCAGACCATGCTACTTAATCCCTCGAATGCCAATGCATGGACTCCCCGCTTAAGGCGTATTATCTTCGATGAGATCCACTGCATCGGCCAGGCTGAGGATGGTGTTGTTTGGGAACAACTGCTCCTGATGTCCCCATGTCCGATTATCGCCCTCTCAGCGACCGTCGGAAACCCCCAGGAATTCTACAACTGGCTAGATCTTGCTCAGAAAACCAATGGGTTCGACCTCAAGATGATCCAGCATCAGCACCGTTATTCGGACTTGCGGAAGTACGTGTACGAGCCTTCTGGTGACTTCTCCTTCAAAGGGTTTTCCAATACTCCAAGCTTGGCCCGTCTGGGCCTAGAAGGAGCAGATGATATGACGTTCGTGCATCCTGTCACTAGTCTGCTGGACCGCTCCAGGTCGATACCAGATGATCTTGACTTTGAGCCACGTGACTGCTTCACTTTGTGGAAAGCAATGAATGATCTTCAAACAAAGCAGTTCCCCGTTGATCCATCTCTGGATCCATCCATCTTTTTCTCGAATATTGTCATTCAAAAGGTGCACATCATAGAATGGCAGGGACAACTCAAAAAGGTGTTAGGAGAGTGGATGAAAGACCGAGAATCGCCATTTGAGAAACTTTTGCTCAAGCTTGACCACCCGGCAGGGTTCACAGTTGACAAAGAAGAGGACTTGTCGAAGCAGGTATCTCAGATGAATGGTCTGTCTGGCACTCAAAACGATAACTTGCTTGACACGACCCTCCCTTTGATCAACTCGCTACACGCTCAAAATGCTCTACCCGCCTTGTTCTTCAATTACGACCGTGGTAAGTGTGAAGATATTTGCCAAGAACTGTTGGCACAGCTTCAGAAGGCCGAGACAAAATGGAAAGAAGAGAGTCCGGTATGGAAATCCAAGATTGCCAAATGGGAAGCATGGAAGACATCCAAGAACTCGGCAAAGAAGAAGCTTGAAAGGGCCACCAAGAAGAAGCCTAGTGGAAACGCTGACGAGGAGCCAACTTCCAAGGCAGAGCAAGCCAAAGAATCAGCATCTGCTGATTTCGGCTGGCTTGATCTCTTTGACCCTAAGAGGCCTGTGGATGGATTCCATTTGGCTGACTTCAAGAAAGTCACTGCTTCCGAGTTTTACGTCTACTCCAAGCAGCTGCAGTGGCGCTCGGTGCCTCAATGGTTGATTGATGGTCTGGAGCGAGGAATCGGTGTCCATCATGCTGGTATGAATCGCAAGTACCGTCAAGTTTGTGAGATTCTCTTTAGGAAAGGCTTTTTGCGTGTTGTGATTGCTACTGGCACCCTGGCCTTGGGTATCAACATGCCTTGTAAGACGGTCGTTTTCTCGGGTGATTCCATTTTCTTGACAGCCCTGAATTTCCGACAAGCCGCCGGAAGAGCAGGACGTCGTGGATTCGACGTGCTCGGAAATGTTGTTTTCCAGCATGTTCCACCATCTAAGGTGCAACGACTGATGAGCTCAAGACTCCCCAGTCTCAATGGACATTTCCCCATAACAACAAGTCTGGTTCTACGGTTGTTCATCTTGCTACAGGGCTCAAAGCAAGCTCCGTCTGCCGTGAAATCGATCAACTCGATCCTCTCAAGTCCTCGAATCCATCTTGGTGGCCCTGAGATGAAGCAAACAGTGCTCCACCATCTCCGATTCTCTATCGAATACCTCAGACGGAACAATCTCCTTAGCGGTACAGGTATGGCTACGAATTTTGCGGGCTGTATCTCTCATCTGTACTACACAGAGAATTCCAGTTTCGCTTTCCATGCCCTCCTGAATTCGGGATACCTCCAAGATCTCTGTCAAGACATCGAGACGAAGCCGAAAAAGACTGTTCATTCTCTGATGCTGGTCATGGCCCACCTTTTCGGGCGTATTCCCCTGCGAGCTTCCACATTGGAACGGTTCCAGAGCGCAGAGAAGAAGCCCTCCTCGACCATGGTGGCTCTTCCACCTTTGCCAAGAAAAGCAGCTTCCGCCCTACGTGCTCACAACGCACAGGTCCGGGACATCTACACTGGCTATGTCTCCACTTTTGTTAAGCAGCACATCAACGAGCCAGATCGTTCGCTACCATTCAGTGGGATCAAGTGCGGCGGAGAAAGTACCTCCGAGAAACTCGGTTTCTCCGAGTTTGAGCACGTCTCCCCTTCAATCGTATCCCCATTCTTCGCCCTTTCAGGAAATGGAGACGAATGCAGTACTGTATTCGAACTTAGCCAGATGGTTCGCAGCGGCGTTTGGATTGAGGATTCCGTCATCCCGTATGTGCCTGTTGACACCGACGAGCACGCGGCTCCTCTCAATGCATACCTGTATGACTTCTTCAAGCACGGAAGTGTTTCTCAGCTGGAGACTGCAAACCGCATCCGCCGCGGTGACATCTGGTTTGTGTTGAACGACTTCTCGTTGACTTTGGCGACAATCAAGGCTAGCATCGAAGGATTCCTCAAGCCTGGAGGCAACATCGGTGCAGATATGCTCGATGTTGCTGGTGGCGGTGATGATTACGAGAATCTCGTGGATGACAAGGCCGTTGATCAGATCGAGGCTGAAAATGCTGGAAAGTTGGCTGTGAAGCAAGAAAATATGCAGGCGGTGGCTGCTGCGCCTGTACCCGCCGCTCGGCCCCGAGCGAAGAAGGTTGTGATGGATAGCTGGGAGGATGAGATGGATGACGATGATCTGGATGAAATCGAGGATGAAGCCGATGCTCCCAAAGATACAACCAACGGCCTCAAAGCTACGCAAGAAAAGCCAGTGGACAAGTCTCACAGATCTATGTTCTTGGTTGCCAAGGCCTTCAAAGAACTGCACACCGAGTTTGACAGCAAGTTCAAGGCTATGTGGGCTTAAGACAATGTTATGAAGGATGAGATACTATGACTAGATACTAAATTGAGAGATATCTGAAGTGAGGGATATCTAAAAATTACGAAAATCGGTTGGTCGGCTTCAGTAGTGCCACGTATATAAAGACCCTTCTACGTCCTATCATCTTCCTACTACGATGAAGACAGATATACTCGTAATAAAAAGACAGTCTCTAGTTCCATTCGACACAGGTCTTCATTTCCTTCCCATAAAATTCACCGGATCTTCCCTATGTACCCATGTGTCGGAGTGCCCATTGGTGTTCAGCCTATTATTCTCCATATCTGAACTGCTTGCCGTAACCATAGCATTGTGGCTATGTGAGTTCGCTGACGCTCCACAATCACTACCAAGCTCTCGGAAATCGCCTTTGTTTCCCCGCGTGTGTAGTTGGAGGTTGGATCCGGTAGACCGTTGGGAATGGTATTTTGAGGCATTACTTCGGACTTTGCTGCGAACGCCTTGCACGAGTGGGTTAAGAAATGGGAGACAGCCGCAAATGATGGCCACGTTGAGTTCGAGACATGTCCAGATGGACTCTTTGGCGCTTGAGGCTGTATGATATTAGTTGGAGCCATTATATGAGATGGGAGAAGTACAGACCTGCAAGGTCGGTAAGCTGGAATTGGCGGAATTCAATCAGCCGCATCAAACTGAAGATACAGACGCTGCAATCTGTCGTTAGTAGGGAGTGGTATATCATGTAGGGGGTGGAGTTTCGTACAGTCCACCCAGAGAAAACACCAGCATCAGTGCTATTTTCTGCCGAGTGTTGATTTGTAGCTTCCAAAATACAGGAATCGGCATGCAGAGAATGATAACATCTTCAATCAATGCAATCGAGCCCATAGTCTGGAAGAATTGAACCTGCCCTGACATACAGTGTCCTTTCAAGTCTTTATCGTAGTAGTATTGCACCGGTATGCATTGGAAGGTGTTAGTCAATAGGGCAGCGAGAGCCCATGTGGCGATAAATGCGATCAAACAGTAGGAAACAACGATGTATGCACGGATTGAGCCGAAGAGTCGTTTAATAAAGACGACAATTGAGATCTTGACAAAGGCCATCGATGGGGCCCAGAACTTTTGTATCATCCATGATCCCTGCAAACTGTTAGAATTTCTATAACTCAAGATCGTTATAAGCCCATACGAATTGAATACGTGTCCGTTCATCCTTGGGGAGCGATTTGACTGGTAGACCGACACCATTGAAGGCAGCTTTGAATAGTTAGCTAGGAACCAATGGAGAAGAGGAATATACTTACTATCTACTACAAAAGCTGTAACACAATAGGAGATGATCAAACCGACTCCCATTAGATAATCTTCCAGTTGAAACCTCACCGCTTTTATTCGTCTGCAGTACAGGCGTAACAGGAAGACGAGAGTAGCCAACCCTGCCCCTACAATCGGTACGATAGTAAGGACATTTTTCCAATATGGATTGGTCTTATGTTCCATCTTGAAGATACATGAAGAAAAAAATTTGAGAATAGGAGAGTAAGATTTCTATAAAAGATATGTGTATATAATTTGGAACAGGGAAAAAAAAAAGGATAATAACCTTTGACTTGAGGTCATCACTCGGGATTCTACTTGGAGTTTTATCGAACCAATTAAATTTATATGTGGGACTTATAAGTGGAAATTCACGTGAAACCATCGTGTTTTTACGATGAACTGACTTTCTAAGATACTTTTAATATCATGATCGAACCAATTATAAAAGTTATACACAAATAAGTGATGATCTTTTACCTGAATTGGCTTAATTTACGCACAAATATCTAAGACATTTATCGTCTGTACCTTTTCTAGTGCATCTTAGTGCATCTTAGTGCATCTTAGCGTTTCTTAGCGTTTCTTAGTCTTACTTCAGCTTATATTCCAAGGTTTCGACCTTAGAATTGCTTTTGATTTTTCCATCCTTCTGAAACCAAGAATGTTGATCAAATTATCCGGGTTGGTCCTATTGGCCATATTAAACTCTACTTCTGCAAAGGAATGTACTTTGAATGGCTTCAATGCAACAGTTGGAGGACGCATCAAACATCTTACTCCTTTTTCCTTGCCCTGCTTCTCCAACTATAATGGGAAACCGGTCGCCCGTGACGATTCTGTCTGTGCTACTATCCAGGAGAACTACTCGGACCCATGGATGCGAACAAATTCTCCTAATGGCTACATGAATAACCAGGATGAGATGTGGGCATCTGATCCTAGTGACCAGTGCCTTCTCGACAGCAGTAATCCCACTGATCCCCTGGCATTCGTGAACACCACTTGCCGTCAAGGCAATCTACCCTCTCACTATCTGGAAGTGCAGGGCGCAAAGGATGTGATTGAAGCTTTCAAGTTCTCAAACTGCTCCGGCAAGCAGCTCGTTATCAAAAATAGTGGCCATGATTACCTCACCCGCAGCAGTGGCCGTGATACGCTATCTCTTTGGACCCGAAACCTGCGATCTATGCACTACAGTGCAGACTTCGTTCCCTGCGGCTCCAAGAACACCGCTCACAAATATCAAGCTATCACCGTCGGTGCCGGAGTCAACTTCGATGAGGCGTACGTATTTGCGCAGAAGAATAACGTAACCATTCTCGGCGGCTACTCATCCACTGTCGGTGTCTCCGGTGGCTGGGTACAAAACGGTGGCCATTCCATCTTGAGCCCCGTGTACGGTCTTGGTGTTGACCGTGTTCTCGAGTTCAAGGTTGTTACCCCAGATGGTGTGTACCGCACCGCCAATGAATTCCAGAACCCTGACCTCTTCTGGGCCCTCCGCGGTGGCGGTGGTGGAACCTTTGGAGTCGTCCTCGAAAGCACTCACCGTGTCGAGCCTGCTATCCGCTTTGTCTCTGCCAACATCAAGTTCCCCAGCAACTCCACCAACGTGCTTCCATTTATGGAGATCGTCGTCAACAACACCCTCAAGTGGGGTCAGGAAGGATGGGGCGGCCACATCACCGGCAACACGCTTGTCAATGTCTCTCCTTTCCTTTCCATCAAGGAAGCCACGGCCTCTCTAGCAAGCGTGATCGCCTACGCCGAAGCAAACGGGGGTTCCGCCATCATTGAAGAGTTCACCTCTTGGTACCCTTTTTACGAGAAATACGTCAAGACCAGCTCCGTCGCTGTCGGTGTCACTCGCTTCCCCGGAAGCCGACTGATCCCCCGCTCCATCTTCAAGACCACTGAGGGCCGCAAAAACCTCATGGATTACTTTGCAACCATTCAATCACTGGGCCAGACCCCTTACATCCCCGTCGTTGGACCAGTGTTGTACAACTACACCGAAGGATCGACCAGTGCTTCTCCCGCCTGGCGTGAGGCTATTTGGGAGTTGGGATCTGGTGCCTCCTGGGAGTGGAACGCTACTCTTCCCACCCGGAGACAGAAGATTGAGTCCATTCAGAGAATGACGGCGATTATTGAGGGCATTACCCCTGGCAGTGGTGCATACAGCAACGAAGCCAACCCGTTCACGATTAACTGGATCAAGGCGTGGTGGGGTGATAACTATGAGAAATTGCTGAGCATCAAGAAGAAATATGACCCCATGGGTTTGTTGAGTTGCTGGAAGTGTGTTGGCTGGAAGGAGTCACAGATTGCCGATTCGTCCTTCGCTGGGCTTCTTTGAGTGAATGCGAAATATACACCCTTAGGCGTACATAGCATATAGACTTGATACACAATATACACACACTGTACTATAAAATCTTCGCTTATTTACTCTGTTATTCATTCCTTACTCTTCCACTTCCGCTTGCTTCGAGCTTCTAAGGGATAGATCACAGGCATTTGGCCGAAATTGACAAAATTGACAGACCTTCAATAAATTAATCTTATATCCCTAAAACACTCGTTATTACTAATGAAACATCCAATTGTATGTAGGAACTAGGCTTCATTATAAATACATAACACGCACTGCAGGGCATGGATCTTCGGCGTCTTCGGTGTTTGATAAATCGGCCCACTTCCGCTTTTTACGCCACTCAATCTAAAGCTCCTCAGTATATAAACCCCACCAGGATAACCTGGCCTGATATTCCCATATTAAGCATTGATCCTAGATTTAATTCCCTCAATTTTGGACTCCTGAATCCATCATGACTTCAGGGACGCCAGTACCCGTACCAGCTAGTGACGAATATTACAACCTTGGCTCGTTTGGCCATCCCATCACCACCAGCAGCGCCGATGCCCAGATTTGGTTCAACCGTGGACTAGTATGGGTATATTCTTTCAACCATATGGAAGGCGCCTACTGTTTCCAACAAGCCATCGCCCATGATCCTGCGTGCGCCATGGCCTATTGGGGTCTGGCGTACGCGGTTGGCCCGAACTACAATAAGCCATGGGAGAAGTTCGACCAGGGAGATCTCCATGCTTGCGTGCAACGAGGATACGATGCCACGCGACAGGCAAAGAAATTCGCGACAAATGCAACACCGCTCGAACAAGCTCTGGTTGGTGCGATCCAATTCAGATTCCCGACCAACCAGCCTGCGACAGACTACCCCGCTCTGAACAAGGGCTATGCCGCAGCTATGAAGCCAGTGTATGATGAATTCGGAGCTGACTTGAATATTGCCACTCTTTATGCCGATGCCTTGATGAATATGACCCCCTGGGCTCTATGGGATCTATTCACCGGCAAGCCGAACCCTAAAGCCCCCACGATGGAGGTACAGGCCGTGCTAGAAAAAGCGCTGGCACAGGAAGAGGATGGTGCATATCTCAACCCTGGACTACTTCATTTGTATATTCACTTCATCGAAATGTCGCCCACTCCCGAGTTGGGTATCAACGCTGCCGACCATCTCCGCGACCTCGTCCCCGACGCTGGTCACATCCACCACATGCCCACTCATTTGGATATTCTAATGGGCGATTGGCGGCGCTCCATCGCCTCAAACCACAAATCAACGCTTGCCGATGATAAATTCTTCCAGAAGTCAGGCGCTAAGAACTTTTATACCTTCTACCGCATGCATGACTACCATTCCCTGATCTACGCGGCCATGTTTGCCGGCAAATCCAAGGTCGCCCTCGACGCAGTCACTCGCATGGAAGCTACCGTGCCTGAAGAAGTCCTTCGAATCGAGTCCCCGCCTATGGCTGACTGGCTGGAGCAGTTCATGGGTATTCGCATACACGTGATGGTACGCTTCGGTATGTGGGAGGAGCTTAAGGTTAAAGAGCTACCCCACGACCAATCACTATATGCAGGCACCACTGCTACTATACACTATGCCAGAGGCATTGCATTTGCCGCCACTGGAGACGTGCCATCAGCCAGAAAGGAACAGGAGCTTTTCCGCCAAGCGTGGGCACGGGTCCCTGCAACCCGTCGCGCATACAACGGTACAATTGTCGATGTTCTCAAAGTCGCCGAGTCAATGTTGGAAGGAGAAATCGAATACCGTTGTGCCAACTACGATAAAGCCTTCGAAGCTCTCCGCTGTGCAATTCATCACGAGGATACCTTGCCATACAGTGAGCCTTGGTCGTGGATGCAGCCTGTTCGCCATGCGTATGCCGCACTGATGATGGAGCAGGGAAATTTGGAAGAAGCTGCAAAGACATATCACGCTGATCTGGGTATGGATACTTCTGTCATCCGGCCGCGTCGTCACCCGAACAATGTCTGGTCGCTGCAGGGATACCATGAGTGTTTGGTTCGTTTGGGAAGGTTGGATGAAGCGGCTGTCATTGAGCAGCCGGTTAAACTGGCCCTTGCTGTAGCTGATGTCCCAATCAAGTCGTCGTGCTTCTGCCGCTTGGAAACTTTCCAGTTGCCATCGCTGCTTGATGGGAATTCTTTAAATGGGGATGACTCCGAGGAAAAGTGCTGCAAAGCTTGACGTTTTGCTCTTGGATTACAAAAGCGAAGCGGTCTGCAACAGGGTACCAGACGGCTTTACTGACATTTAACTGCCAAAGCATACTTGTTTTATACTCTCCCCTCATCTACTTGCTTTTATAAGAAATTTCAAAATGTTTGATTCATCGTTCATTCATGGTGGAAAATTTAGGCCATTTTTTCTTTCTCTATGGAGTGGCTTCTTGTTGGTACTTGCATTCATTCAAATTCTCCTTCCCTAGTGCTCTTTATAATATATCTGAGTTTATTAGCCGCTATGCACGAAGCAACCATTCATGTCTGCATCCTTTAGCGCTGTTGGTGATATAGGTATGCAGGTGGAGTAAGAGTCTAGTCGGGTAAGAACGCCACAAATTCCCCACAAATTCCTGGGGCAAACACGCAGCCAGCCAATCGGAGCACTAAATCAAACACCGAGGCCCATATTTGGCGCCTGCCGGCTTACCCAATATGGAAGGTTTCTGAAGCCATCACCTGGGCACTAATCAAATGCAGGTAGCCCTGGAGGTAACAAACAAAGCGTTATTACTCTATTGTGGGTATCACTAGACCTGCCAAGAGTAACACGGCTTCACGCCTTTATTATTTCCCCGGTTCCCTTCTAGCCATGCCAGTGTGGGGTTCAGAAATGTGTTGCGACCTATATTATCCTATCTCATTCAATATGCCTCTATATTATATATTTCCTTTCTCCTCAGCCACCAAAGAATAGCCAAAAACAGTGAAGCGGCAATGTACATAAACCCAGCGAACAGCTGTGCACCCAGGTATTTACCCGTTGCATTGGTCAGTGCCAGCGCAATCGGCTCTGAGAAAGTTGATGGCACAACAATACTCAACCAGACAAGATTCATCCCATGAGCGACTCTTTCCACACCAAGGATATCTGCAGTCAAAGGTGCTATCGTTGCCCAGATGTTCCCCGCGACGAGGCCTTCAGCAATTGCAAAAAACATCAGAAGTCCATAGCTCTCGGAATTCACCCACACTGCCAGACACAGCACGCCAGCAACAAAGGTTGAAATGCCGGCGATGTTGATACGACCGACGCTATCACTGAAGTAACCAATGAGAGGTCGGCCGATAGCCTGGCCGAGATTGAGTATGCCACTGACCAGTGAAGCTTGAGAGGAGGTGAGACCAATCCGTTGGCCATAGTCAACCAAGCTATAAATCAAGATAAAATAGCCCAGTATGGTGAAGAAGCTGAATCCAATCAAAAGATTGAAGTCCCGAGATTTGAGGATAGCAAGATCCATCGTGATCTTCTTGGTTTTGTCTGGTTTGCTCCGATCTCTGATCAAGAGCACACAAATGGTATTCACCGAGAATGCCAGAATGCCGAGCACTCTGAACGCCCAGATAAGACCGATATTGCGAATCATGGCTGACGCCACTAAAGAGTAGATAAGACCACCAAGGCCAGCGCCTGATAGAGAAATACCACTGGCAAGTGACCGTTTAGATGTGAACCATTGTGGGACCAAAGATGCGACAGGAATGAATAGCAATCCCAATCCCAGTCCAAAGAGGATGCCTTGGGTAAGAAAGAGATGCCAAATTTGCTTAGCGAAACTGGCACATATGAGGCTCGCTGTTTCGCAAATGACACCTGCAAACATAGTCTTTCGAACACCATATCTTTGCGTGGAAATGGTTGCCAGGGGAGAGATTGTGAACATAGTAGTCAGACTTAGAGAGCCTACAAACGCATATTGTAGCTTTGTTGCACCCTCAAAGGTTCCATGCTTGAGATAGTATGCCAGAAAAACAGCATATGCAGAATTAAATCCCCACGAATGTGCGTTCACGACGGCAGCAGCCACAGCACATACCCATCCGTAACCGCCATCAGGAGGGGCATCTGTCTCAGAGGCGACTACCGAGGATTCTTGCCCAGACTCTTCTGCGTCTTCGACTGTTTGTGTCGGGGATTTGTTTTTCGAAGTGGTCAAAGGAGAATCTTTGGAACCGACCCAAGGAAGTCGACAAAAAATTGATAGCCCATGATTGGGTGGTGCTCCCATGGTGACGTTTCGAGACAAAAAAGAAACCAGTCAAATGAGAAATGATCCGGAGATGCAATGGCTAGGTATGCAATGAAAGCCCCCGATGCAAGAAGAATCGAGATTCAAATTGGCGTTGTGTGGGCCATAGGCTCTATTTCCAAGTCCTGAGTAGTATTCTCAAATTAAGTGTCTTTTTTCAACACAAAATAAGTTCATGTGTGCATGAATATTTTGGACATCATTTATGGATCGCATCTTTGTAGTATATCGTGTGAATTTGGCCAGACCCAACATATGGAACAATCCCCCAGTTCGGGGAATGAAAATGACAAAGGATATAACTCGTAAGCTCCCAATGGAGCTAAGAAGTGGCATCTGTGTCAAAGCTAGCCTCTATCAAAAATTGTCTCCTCTGACCTAAGTTCGATTGGGAAACTATGTGGATCCTATACAGGTCTCTACTCCACATTATCTTATGGTTCGAGTTTCCATTCGCAGTTCAATCACCGACCTCATTAGCTCCCATCAATTTTTTTGCGATCCGTTAGGTGTAGAAATGATAAAGCATGTCAATTTCCTTTGGAGAAATAGTGGGGCACCGAGCATATGCCATATTTTCACTTCAAACCCCGATGCATCGGCACGACGGGATAGTATGGGTTAGTGTTAGACATTTGCTTTTCTCGGTTTATATTCTCCGAACTGTTAGAATTTATATTGTCTGATACTCTGATGGAATTA